TAACCTAGTACGCCCGATTTCCACTTTTTCGGAATTTTCCACTTTTTAAAAAGCTGGCGTTGCTATCAAACGTTATGTTCCTTCACAAATCATAATATGCGCTATTGTGAAGAACGATCACAACTTTATTGGTGTAAGACTTTGGGGGCCACAGCTTGGGCTGCGTTTGAGTAAGAGGGAGTTAGAATTTTGGGGCCACAGCTTGGGCTGCGTTTGAGTAAGAGGGAGTTACTTGTAAACTTGGGGGCCACAGCTTGGGCTGCGTTTGAGTAAGAGGGAGTTACTTGTAAAAAGGGGCCACAGCTTGGGCTGCGTTTGAGTAAGAGGGAGTTACTTGTAAAAATCTGGATTTCATGAGATAGTGCACCTACTGTATGCTTATTATGCCAGTTTACAGGCGCATGAGTTTGGCAACCTACAGTATGTTCATTTGGGCCTACTTAATTGCCTTTCACTAGCTATCGGATTATTTGCAGATGAACAATGAACGCCATATACGATTACTTGGCGCACCCTAGGGCGAGGGGGCGAGTGTTGCGGAATTCGAGCAAGAATGGAAATTGGTTGTTTTTGTACAATCAGCACGGAAGACCTGAGTCAGACGTACACACCCAAAGGAGAGGCATCCTCTGGCAGTGCATAAAGCCAGCGGTCGTCAAGCTCCACAAACACCTGCCAAATTGCCGAGACGGCGAAAGAGATAGAATTCGATCTGTCCAAGGCAGATGACTTCGGCCAGTCACTTAAATTTCTACTCGATGTTTGGTAATGAACGCTTTGAAAACAGAGAGCTGATTAAGATCTTCGAAACGTCATCGGCTGTAAAAATCTGTTCGGATTAGCAATGCCAGCGTCTCAGGGCTAGCTTAAAAATAATTTTTGTAATTAATCTCGTGACGCCGCAGCTGAAGTTGGCCTCATAGGTGAGAGGAATTGCAAGTGTTTATCGTGAAAGCTTATCATTCATTGGCATAAAAAGGACGCAAAAAGCAACTCATTACCAGGAATCTTTTCCAGCGGATCGTAGGGTTGATATAGAGGCTCCACTCGGAACTTGGAAATGTCACTGAGTACGTGTGTCCCGACAACAGGTTTTCGACCGAAGGGACGGTTGTCACGAACCATGATATTAATCGGAGGCATGTAGAGGGCCTCTTTGGGAAGATTGGCTTCCAGGTACATCAGTGGCTTGGGGAAGTTAGGAGTGCGCTTGAGATTGTGGATGGTGTCTGAGTGCAACATGTTACCACCAATGTCAATCTCCACACACGGCGAATTGACGTTGGCCAGTTGATATTTCTTCATATTACGAACACCCCAGCAGAGGACTTCAATTGCAGTAGTCTGAAGAACAGGGCGGATTCCATCCGGAACCATATAAAGCTTTCCGCGCATTGGTGGTGGAGGCCGAGGTGGTTGACCTTCCATCTAAAAATAACAAAATATTAATAAGGGACTATCAGTTCTCTCACGCCGAGGCAACATTGACATTTGAAAAAAACCTAATACAAAGTTCGCATAATCGCTTAGGAACAAAAGATTCGTCCGCGCAGGAACGACTGGATGTTAGGATCTCGCGTAACTGCTTCAAAATATCTCGTTCGGATGAGTGGAAATTGTAAATATGTTGCTAGAAGCCGTAG